TATAATATTTATATTATATATTATACAAATAATATAATATATAATGTATAATATAAATAATAGAAACTATTAATAATAATGTATAATAATATATAAATGTATATAATTTATTGAATAATATATAATATAGTATCACAGTATATTCTGTTTTTTATTTTCTTTTTAAATTTTTTCATTGTTGGGGCTTAAAATGCCCAGGGGTCTTTGCCATTCTCTCCTGATTACCGTAGGTTTATGGTAAGTCTAGAAATTGAGACATGTAAGTATAGAACATAGTGTACAAACTGTGTTCTGTACTTTTCAACGTTGTTTTGATGTTTTAGATCATTTATATTTCAAAAGATATGTTAAGTTCTGCATAAAGATGTTTTGTTGTTGTGGGGAAAATTTAAAAAGGCCGCCACAGCGACGCAAGCCCCAGAGGGGCTTCCGCCATGGCGGGTCCCACATTAGGGAAGAAGTCCTATGGTTCCAGTGGCCTGAGTAACACGAGGAAGTCCTTGGTTCCAAAAAGGTTTATTGTCATGGCAGATAATAGATAGATCTAGGTGTACCCCCAAAAACTCAGGGCAGTCCTGAGTTATATAGGGAGGGAGAAAGGGGGAGGATTGGGGGAGGATCTGGGGGAGGCATGTTTAATTTGTTCTGCCCTCTGGCCTTCATTAGTATGTAAATCCCTAGGGCCTGAGGCCTATAGCCTGGCCTATGTGACTCTATGGAGACCGTGACTGCTTTTCAGGATCCTGGATGATGAGGGGGGGACCAAACTCCTGCCGGTTCTCGCGCAGAATTCCACGCAGAATCTTGGGGTTCTAGGCACCTGCTCAACCATGACCCAGGATACCCTTCCGCAGTCCCATAGTTGTAGCTTTTGCTACCTCGCCAAAGCTCTAGGAATGGGCTGCGCCACTAGCCGGCGCCCAGAGATAATTGGATCTGCGGATGAAAAACACAGACACACACAGTTGTTCAATTTCAACTTGCTTTATTGGCCCAGTTTGCTGGGCATTATTAATCTTCCCTGGCTAGCATGCCCTCCCGAATACTCTTTCTTAGCTCACCACCCTATCTGTCCTCAACTTTAGTCGCTCAGTTACCTTTATTCCAGCTCAACATCCCCATCCTTCCTCCTGGAGAAGTGGCCTGTGGTCGCTCTGCCCGAGATCTCACAAGGGTGGTTGGCTTTTCTAATTCCAAAACACGGTGGAAAAATCTCTCTCTGTCCTTTCTTTATGTCTGTTTGCTTGCCTGTGGTGACCCGCTTATTCCTTCCTCCTAGCAATTGGCCTGTGGCATCTTTACTGATAGATCAAGAACCAATAGGGGAACAGGACCCATTCCTGCATAAAGACTTTTGGGGTCTGACAGGGATTGAGTTGACTTTTCAGGTCTCTTTAGGGAGAACTGCAATCTAAATAGTATTGGAGGGCTAGAGAGTTTGCTGCTCCTCCGGGGGATCTGTGTTTGGTCCCCAGCACCCACAGTGAGCAGCTCAGTACTGTCCTCTCTGGGTCTCCACAGTCACTCATACACACATGTGACACACACACAGGTGCATACGAATATACATAAGTAAAAGTAAATCTTAAGAAAACATATTGGACTCTTAATTCATGAACATAGAATACCTATACATTTACTTCAGTTTTCTTTAGTTTCTTTTATCAATGTTATAGAGTGATTATTGTTTATGTCTTTCTTTTCCTGCTGCTGTGATAAAATACTCTGGTAAAATCTAGAAAGGGATTACTGTGACTCACAGTTTCAGGGTACTGGGAGATCCTCGTGGCAGGCAATTGAAACAGCTGTTCATATTGCATCCACACTGGGAAGCAGAGAAGAATGATTGCTAAGAAGTAACATTGGTGACACTGTTTTGTCTCAGTCCTCCAATGAGTTGCTTATAAGACAGTGATGGGATCTGCAGTTGAAGTTTTGTACAAGGATACATTAGATACCATGCTCCCATCCTCTTATTTGGAAAATGTTCTGCAGGTAATCAGGGCTTGAGCAGCTAAGCTTACATCTGTCCTGTCCCATGTAAAGTTCACTTCTATAACCCTCCCTGGGGCTACACTCCCTTCCCATCCTGAGTGCAGCTTAGAGGATTTAATAAAAGCCTGCTCAGTACCTGATTCAGTGTCTCCAGGTTTATTCTCTGTCAGTGATTGCTGGTGTTCAGCTAGCTCTCTCGTTTTTTATGGAGTCCAGGACCTAAGCCCAGGGAATGGTGCCATTCACTTTTAAGGTTGTCTTCCTGCCTCAGTTAACCTAATCAAGACAATTTGTCACAGGTATACCCACAGGCTTATCTCTTAGGTGAAATATATCCTGGGTGTTTATATTCTGACATGGTGGCAATCAATATTAACTACCATGATATTTTTTTCCCTCTCTCACTTCCTGCCTTCTCCCTTCCTTCCCCTGTTGGTTTTTTGTTTGTTTGAGACAGGATCTTATATAGGACACACACACACACATACACACACATAGCCTAGTTTTAATTTTATTTATTTAGTTATTTTAGACAAGGTCTCATTATGTAGCCCTTGGCTGGACTTCACAATATAGACTTGACTGGTCTGGAACTCAGAGATTTGCCTGCCTCTGCTTCCCAAGTGCTGGGATGAAAGGCACGCACCACCATACCCAGCTAGCTTCAATCTTGAAGCATAGCTGAGGATGACTTTGAATTCAAGATTCTCCTACCTACATCTCCTAAGTACTGAAATTACAACTGTATAACACCAGGCCCAGTTCAGTCCTGCATTTCTTGTAACAAATATATTAAATATTTTATGCTATTATGATCATAATAGTTTTCTCTTTGATTTTGAGGTTACTTATTGCTAGAGTATAGGAATAAAA